CAAAGTATTTCCCATTTTTCAGTTTCAAGTTAGCTTGGCATAGCCCATGCCATGATTTGTCTCAGCTTGTGTGTACTTTGCTAGCTGTAGGAAACAAAATATCTCCAACTTTAGTTGAGTACTAAATTTGCTTCATTGGCCTCAGTAATAGCAGAATTTTTTTTTAAGTACTCAACAATGATGGTATGGAATGGAGTCCCCAGATGCCTGTTGTGCTCCCTGCTCCACTTTAAAATATCACTTTAATTAAAATGTAAGTGCCATCTTGGGGTGTTTGCAGCTTGGTGCTTTCTTTGAAAGTGGGCCTATCTGCCAGGAAAAAAAGACTATATCTTGAGGATTAGAGAGTATATTGGAGAACAAATTCACCAGTTTGCCGTACAGGAAACTGATGGTTTACTGTATATCACATCTGCTGTGATAGCCCTGTGATGAATTTTCAACTCTTGAATTGAATTCTGAAAGAACACTGGTGAATAGGGATGGGGGATGGGGATGGGGAGAGGAAGGTTTGAGTAATGCTATACATTAAATATCACAAAATACTGTACAACTGTCCTAAAAGTATTTACTGGTAAACATTCAGGCAATCCTATATCGAATTCTGGAGTCAATAACTTATTTTATGCTTTCAATATAGCTCTTTCTTGGCACTAAAAATACTCGTGTTATTGCTGCCTCTGTTGTTGATCCTACTTGTATTGGCATGTAAACCTCTTATGCCAAGGGGGCAAACTATTAACATAATGTAGTGAAACCTGTTGGGGCTATAATGTAATAAGTTTCATTGTTGTTAAATATTATTATTGTAATATTCCACTTTATCAGAGTTGATCAGAATTGACTGCACCAATATAACTTCAGATAATAATGCCCCTAGTATGTTTAGAAAAAATAGCTGCCATTCATAACAAAACTTTGACGGAGCTTAGTCAGTTGTCACATAATTGTTCCAAGTGTTAAGGATGTGCCACATAACTTTCAAGGAAGTTTACAATCAGAAGATATTTACAGTGGAACCTTGTTTTCATGAACCTTGAATCAGTATTTTGGATATAATTAACAATACTAGTCTAAAGCAGCCATCAAAATCCTCTTTAGCATATTAGTGCAGATAATGCTCAAGTGTTTTACGTGGACTTTTATACATTCAAAAAATCCTATTTGCCATTTAACAAACAGCCAGCTCCCATTGATGACGCCCCTTTTTTCCATTAGTGTGTTAAATTGAAGATTTACATTATTGTTTTGTTAAAACCTTAAAAAAACATCCAGACGACTGAGCAATGTTTCCAGAATTCAGGTTTTAGCTCTCCCTGCCACCTCCCAAACTACTGTCTGTGATTTATTATTTCAGTAATTTGTATGGTGAGAGTTCACAGGCCCAGAATAAGTCTCTCCATACAGTGCTTGCTTGTATGAATGCTCAATTGTTTTATGTTCGTCACAGTGCAGAACCTTTTCAACTCAACTCCAATTGATACTTTTGCATTATGTAATTTTTTTTCTATCCTGTAAGATTTTTTTTTTTTTTAATCTCAGAGTAATAAGATTATATATGCCAAGCCTTGTATATGTATTTTCTGTGTATAGCATAGCTAAAAGGCAAGATTTACTTTTGGAAAAGAATCCTGTTTGACTGTATTCTGTAACTAGAATTTATTTAAACATAAAATATACTTCCTTGTAGGCACAGGGTGGATAACAAAGAATTATAAAGCATGAAATCCAAATTATAAGGGGTCTGTGATTTAATTATGTGAATGGATTATACTTGTGGCTTTAAACATGTGTTGGACAAATATTCATAGATGTATCCTGTGGTTTTGTTGCTGCTTCCCATAATACACAATTACTTTACAAATCTATAGAACAATGCCTTCAGTTATCTTCTGATCAGACCAAAAATAGCAAAATATAGTTTCAAATTTCTGAAAATCTAAAGAGGTTTAGATATATTGTGTTAAATAGCATGGTTTTCAGTAGAGAATTTCCTACAAATAGCTATGGCTTAGACAATGCATGAAATTTGCAAGGAGTCTTGTGAGGAAAAAAACTTTCAGCCAAGAATGCTAAGTCTCTATGACTTTTTATAATTGCCATAAATGTAGTCTTTTGATTTTTCTTTTGGTTTTGCAGTTTCCAGATAATAAAAATTGAAGGACCTTTAGGAAAAAAAATGTAGATAATAACAATTAAATTCTCTATTAAAAGCAACAAGAGGATAATTCTTGTTTCACACTTCAAATTGTCACAACTATCCTAATTTTTTTATGGCTAGTCTGTGCTCTATGAAATTATTTTTGTTGATTTAATCTTGTGTTAAGAAGTACTATAACTAAAGTATGGGGGAAATATAATGAAAGTGGTGTCAAGCAAGGCCACAGCTCATCCTAAGTCAAAGCCTGCCAATAGGGACCAGAGGGAGGTGCATCTTTGGCAGAGGAACAGCTATGAGAGTAAACTTGTGAAATGTTGACACAGCAGTGAAAAGAGTTGGCCCTGCAGCCTCCTCAGGATATGAATTGAAATGATGGGCTCTTCCTTTCCATCTGCTGATTAATGCTTTCCCCTTTCACCCTGCAACACAAACACTTAAAGATTGTTTCAGCTATTTCATGGATAAGAAATCAGAGTAAATCATTTGGGTGGAAACTTTGTTAACGGTTAAAAATGACATAAATCAAATGAAGCCCAGTGAAATTTACTTCTGCTTAACACAGTTCCTCTAACCTAACGCTAGCAGTAAAACAGAAACAAAAGCAGAGGTACAGACATCTGTTTGTCAGAAAATGACCCTTTTCTACATCTGTATGTACTCTGCTGGTCCTGGTGTTTTAAAAGCTGAAATGGCCAAAGTGATGTCTAAGTATCTCGCATAAGGTAGGTAGGTAGGCAGGCAGGCAGACCTGTTTTGTGGGGCAATTGTGGGGAAACTAGTGTCAAGTTCACAAGCTTTTATTTTCTTCATCTTTTGATTAAGTTTATATTTTTGTGTCATTGTAACTATAGATTCAGAAAAATAGCTCTAGCCATTCACACATGCAAGTAGTATGTGAATTAATATAATTGGGTGGATACTGTTGTGCAAAGCAAGGTCACTTATGTAAAGCAATTGTTCATGTGATTCCAGGTGGCATAGATCATGCCAGACTGAATCACTGTTTCAGCTATAGTTGTTTTAAAAGGTGCCATGACATCATTGATTTGCTTATGAATGTATTTGACTTTAGTTATCCTTTCCGAATCAGGAATTGAGTGTGGGGTGACAGTGGGGGAAGCTGAGACCCTTTCAACTGACACTGGACTACACCTCCTGCCCATTGGCCATTCCATCGGCAGTGGAGGACATAGGACTGAACAATATGACCTGGACTTCACCTGCTATAACTATAATCTCTATGCATTTTGTTTTGATATTAACTTTATTCTTATCTTCTGCTTACTCTTCTCTGTCTTTTTATAAAGCCAACCTTTGTGCTCAATGTTCTATCTGACCCTGAACTATGAGACTGATTATAATTATCAGATGTTTCTGCACGAATGCCTTGGCATTACAATCAGTGTTACCTGTTCACCATTTAACAGAGAGTGATGTTTTTATTTAACATATACAGGAAGTATAAGAGATGGTATGTTGTTATAGGCATTGCCTGACTTTCTATACATGCTGTATTATGGGGCAGATGATGTGGCCTCTTTTGCAAGCCACATCCAAATTTTTCAGATCAACCTTTTAGGTTTCAGTTTCTATGAAATATCTACTTAAAGCAAAGATAGTTTGTTTATTGAAGATATTATACAAGTCTGTTCCATTCCTTTTCACTGGAGGACTGAATCCTTTTCTATGGATTCATTGTTTGTGCATTTTGTGGCATTGCTGTCCACCATTTTCTGAAGCCTAAGGAGGTGTACATGGAGGTCTAACCTTATTTTATCACCAGAAGAAAAGTCTTGTGCTGAGATACATGTCTGGCCAAAGTCATGCAGTAAACTAGGTGGCTGAATAAGGCTTAAAAATGGTCTTCGTGGGCCCAGTCAAATGCTTCAACTACTAGACTATTTTACATTGGTTTTCTCTCTGCTGGAATGTGTGCACACGCCTCTCAGAGTTAGCACAATGATGTAAACTAAAACCAGGAAGGTTGGGTTCAAACTCACCCTCAGCTATTAGATGATGCCAGGTTAGTGACATATCTTATCCCGCAAAGTTATTTTAGTGTGAATAAAATATAATTGATCCCCATATGCCTGGAGCTCCTGGAAGAAATGGTGGCTATATAAATAAATAGGCCAATAAGAAAAGGTGTAAGTTGCCTCAAAGTACTGATTGTGCAGAACAGTAGTTGATTTTCTTAAATAATTTTACTGGATAAATGCTTGGAAAAAATTGCTTTAACAATCACAGAATCTAATTTGCTTTTGATACTGAAAATCAAATTTCAGTAATCAGTAATAAATATAGACAGTTTGATCTCTGAGATTTGACCTGATAGTATAAAATTGATTTTAACAAACGTAGCAAAGAAAAATAACTGGAGAGGTCCAGTTTCACATAAGCTAATCCAAATAGAGTGAACATACAAGCACTCCATTGTGGTTCTATTGTTTTGATATTTTTTTTTTTAGCATTACTCTGCCCTGCAAGAGATGATGACACTGGTTGTTTTTAAACAACAATAACGGGATCAACCCACCCACCCTTTCAAATTTAGGTTATTAGTTTCTGCATATAAGGATTTTATTATATTTTTCCAAATGACCTCAGAATTAAATTATTTACCATGTATTGCTGCTTTTCTAGTTTCTAAAATCCACAATTATTGAACATTGTATATTTGTTCTGGTAGTAAGTACATTTTCTTTGTAATTTAAAACTATCTACTATGGCCATGTTTATCATTACACAACAAACATATGAAGAATTGGAAAAAACACATTTTCTCTTTTTTTTTAATATATTTTGCTGTGTTTTGAATGATTTGTATCATTTTTTATAGGTGGTCTCAGAAGCTGCTGGGCAAGGAGTTTCAATTGATGCTAATGATACGTTTAATTACTGGAACTGGCCTAATGCTGTCATCTTTGCTGCTACGGTGATTACAACCATTGGCAAGTATCGGTTTGTCCATATGGGGTTCATTCACAATATGGGGAAATACTATTTAATAAAATGAAAAATTGAAACATTGGAGGAAGCTGGAGGGGATTGATTATATGCTGTCTTAGTTTGACAGTCTTCTATAATTTAATGTCTCTTTGCCTTTTTAAGACTGGCAGTTTAGAGACACAGATATTGGCATCATGAATAGCTGTACCTGCCCTAGTAGGAATAGATTTCCTATTTACTGACTTTGAATCAATCTGTTATGTAAAATATAGGGAAAGAAGCAGAGAGGAAATAGAGATTTCTATGACAATATTTTTCTTCCATAGAAATGCCTAATAATTGGATTTATAAACCCACAAGCTTCTCCTGAATACATAGCAGATTATTTTTCAAAAGCTATGTATTTCAAGATGGTGGTTTACAATACCGCAGTGAGAAATGTTTTCACCGCAGTTCTCAAGGTATTGCTGACTTTGATGGAAAAATTACAGAATAAATATGATAACAGAACTGTTGGATGACATTTTTTTTTGTTTGCTTTTGTGCTATCCCTGTAAGATACAGAAAAAACATGAGTTACAATGTTTGTTTGTTCCGATGAAGAACACACATAGTGCTGGAAAACAAACTGACCAGGGAAAGTGGGGAAGGGAATTAGAAACCTTGCTGCTAAATCAAATAAAGCGCCATGTTTTATTTGTTACTATTATTAAAATCTATTTCAAATATATATGACGGTTCCTCACTTCCAATATTTCCCATAAACAATTCAAGAAAACCAATACAACATTTTTATATTCTTGCTTTCACAATGTTTACTAGAACGGGGGTCCCCAACCTGCGGGCCACAGCCCATTAGTGGACCATGAGGGGATTGCAACTGGGCCATGGAAAGGACCAGCAAGTGCACACACATGCTGCATTTGTGTGAGTGGCAGGCACATGTGCACACCGCTCATGCAAATGGAGCAGCTTGCACGGAGCTACCCCTTCTCCCCCCCATCTGTCTGCAAAGCTGGAAACATTGGGGAACTCTGTACTAGAAGATGAAGTTAAATCAGCGCTCCAGTCATTAACAAAAAAGACTATAGGAACTAATGGACTATCCATTGAAATATGGCAAGCAACTTGAAGAAGAATTAGTCAAGGTTTGTTTGTTTATTCAGGTCAGAAGCATCACAATTAAAATAAAACATACTATGTGACATAAAATTTAAAACATAAAATATAAGATTAAAATATATACAAATTAATCAGTCAAGGTTATAACCAAGCTATAACCAACCAATCAGGAGAATGACATAGTGGCCAACAGAACTAGAAGAAATATTGTACAATATTCTTAATTTCACATTTTGTAGCAAAGCAATGCTTAGGGCCCCCCAATGTAGATTAGAACCCTACATGGAAAAATAGATGTCAAATGTTCAACAAGCTTTAGAAAAGAAATATGAGACTTTATTGTTGCTGCATGCAATTGAAAAAGCCAAAGAATACCAAAAAATGTCATTATGTGCTGAATAGATTAAAAATCCTTTGAATTGTCAATCATGTCAAGTTGTGGAATGTGCTTTTAAAAACGGGAATCTCAAACATCTCATTGTCCTTGTGAGAAACCTTTAAACCAGTCAGGAAGCAATAGACTGGCTCCAGATTGGCAAAGGAGTGAGGCAAGACTATATAATCTCTATAATCTATTTATTCAACCTATATGCTGAATATGTTAAAGGAAGCTGGTTTGGAAGATGAGGATGGCTTTAAAATTGAAAGAAGAAATATCAATATCAGTAACTACTATCAGTGACACTACTTTGATAACTGAAAAAGCAAAAGATCAGCAAGCTCTAATAATAAAAGTCAAGGAGCTCAGTGAAAAAAATAGAACTAAATTAAACATAAAGACCAAACTAATGAGAACAGGCCTTAGAATAGACAACTACCCTTAGAATTAACAA